CGTCCGCCCTCCTCCAGAAGAAGGCCACCACCTTGGCCGCGAGGCGCAACATGGCCGGCCGCAGCCTCGTCAGCTCAGCGTCCAGCTGCCCTAGGCCCCTGCACGTGGCCACGTCGCTCCCACCGCCCTCAGCCAATGGGGTGACCACGCCTGAGCCTGCGCCTTCGCCTTGTTTGTTCAGGGAGCTTGGCCAATGGGGTTGCCACACTGGAGCCTGCGCCAGAGCCCCTTTGACTTTGGCCAATGGGGTTGCCGCCCTCTGGGACTGCGCCCATGTCCCATCGCTATTGGCCAATGGGGTCTCCGCTAGCAGTGTTTGTGGGCCGTTGGCGACCGTTAGTGTGCCTAGGCGCGGTGCAGTGTGGGAGTGATGTCATGCCTGGCCATTGGCTCGTGCTGGAGGGCGGGGCTTGGCGCAGGTGGGCCTCCGGGCCCCCTTCCCATTGGCTGCTGTCAGGCGTCGCTTTGGTTCTGACCACGCCCCTCCTCCGGTGCGGGGTTGGGGAAGCTCTTCTGCTCCTGCCATGCGCGGCCCTGGTTCCTGAGAGCGAGTCACACGGGCAGGTTTTCCGCGTTAAATACGCTGCTCTCCCGGGAGAACGCGCCGGGTCGTGGCCGCGTCTTTGCTCGGGGGACCCTGGTCCGGACTGGCCCCTCCCGCATGTCCGCCGCTTGGTATCTGTCTCCTGCGGCCTCGGGGAGTGAGCCGCCTGCCCCAAGGCCGGCCGAGGCGCCAGAACGGAATGCGGCCTCGCACAGAGGAGGGCCTTCCCGTGAGCGCGGCGGGGCTGCAGGCCTCTTCGTGGGCTCATTTCGAGTTGCACCAACTTCTGCACCGGCCTAGGCTCCTCCACGTGCTGTGCAACACGAGGCAGCTGCGCCGGCTCCTCTGCTCAGGGTTTGTCCGTTTCAAACAAAGTGTCAAATATGGCATCGCCCCGCCGGCCGGGGCTCAGTGGTGAGAGGTCGCCCCGGAGAGAAGGTTCGCGGTTCGACTCCCGGTCCAGGGCACGCCCCTGGGTTGCAGGTCTGAGCCGGGCCCTGTCGGGCGTGTGTGTCGGGGGAGCAAGCAATCGATGTGTCTCCCACGTGGATGCTTCTGTCTCTCCTTCTAAAATTCAGTGGAAAATATCCCCGGATTCTGCACTTCTCAGCTCAGCTCCTCAGCAGTGCGCTCGGCCGCCCAACAGACGTCTCAGCCTCTTCACCAAAGCGCACTCCTCGCCCGGCCGCCTGTGAACCAGGAGGTCACCATTGGATTCCCGGGTTGCGGGCTCCATCCCAGTGGGGGGCGCGCAGGAGGCAGCCCGTCCATGGTGCTCTCTCATCACGGATGTGTCTCTCTCTCCCACTCCCTTCCTCTCTGAAATCAATAAAAACATATTTAAAAAACACAAGTCCACGGAGACAGCAGAACATCCCACGATGGAGACCTGATGCCTCGCTCTCACCTCCCGTGGGTCTGTGTGCGGAGCCCGTGTTCCGGGCCGGAGCTCGCCGTGCGCACAGCCCCTGCGGCTGTGACGCCCCCGCCAGCGTCTCCGGGGGAGGCATGTCCTGGCCTTTCTCTCTGCTCAGTGAGCAGAAGGAGAGGGCGCCACGGGGACTCGGGGGCTGCCTGCCTCGCGGGCGGCCAGAGTCCAGAGCCGGCCAGGGCCACGGGGCCGGGTTGCGTGCAGACGTGTGCGTGCTTTTGTGCAGGGGGTTTCCTCGTATGATCGCAGGGGACGGGAAAAGGGCGCTGGGAATAAAAAGTCTCCAAGACAGAGCCGCGCCCTCTGCCTTCGGGGCCCTGTGCCCGGGGATCCCCTCGGGGGCACTTCTTCCCAGACGCCCCCGGCGCCCACGCCCTCCCTGTGCTGAGTGGGACTGGGGCGGCCACTCCGTTTCCCGGAGCGAGTCCAGGCCCTGGCAAGGCCGGCGGTTACACAACCACCGCCAACTTCCCGGGGTCACGGCTTCCCCTCATTGACATTCAGGACGAGGCTCTCCTGCTCCGGCCGCAGATCTGGGCTTTTGTTCCCCCTGAGGAGTCGCTGCTGGAAGGCCCGGCAGGATGACGGGGCAGCAGCGAGCCCCCCACCCAGAGACCGGCGCCGCCAGCCCAGGGAGGTGAGCACGGCCAGAGGGACAGACGGCAGGGACCTGTGTGTGTGAGGGGGAGAGAGGTGGGGGGGGGGGGACAGTTCAGTGACCACCTTGAGCACCTGAAGGGCGTGGAGGAGCCAGCGCTTCCTGGGACCTGGGGGTTGAAGGACGCAGGGTTGGTCCGTGCACCCACAGCCCAGCACCCGCCCGAACCCAGAGGCGGCTTGGCTTTGCTGGGAAAGCGGCTAAGGGAGGAAGCAAGCGAGTCTCTCGTTCAGTTCCCGGCTCGCTGTGAACGGTCCTCCCTCGCCGGGAACTTGTTTTAACCGGAGCGTTTCCAGAGCGACCGCGAGTAGCAGAGTGGGCAGCGCGCCGGGCCCAGCTCCGTGCGGCACTAACGAGGCCAGTCTGTCCCCAGCGCCATGACGCGGGAGGAGTGCTGCCGGGAGGAGCTCAGCTACGACCGGACGGCCACCCTGGAGCGCGGGAGGCCGGACGCAGAGGGCTACGCGGACGCCAAGGCCGGCGACCTGCCGCTGTCGTCGAGGCTGCCCCCCTGCTTCAGCCACAAGACCTGGGTCTTCTCTGTGCTGATGGGGGTGAGTGCCTGTGCCAGGGCCACGGAGGCATCGTCCCGTGAGGTGTGCCCTGGCCGATGTCGCCCCCAGCCTCGTGGGACGAGCCGCTCCCTTATCCGGCTCCGGAGTCAGGGCCCACCTGACTGCCCGCAGGGTCATGCATGGAGCTGGGGTGGCCTCCTGGAGGGGGTCTAGAGTCACCCTGCAGGGGTGGGAGGAGCCTCCGGCAGAGTGACGGGGGACGGTGTCCCCTGGTGGGAGGCAGGGCCATGGTGTCAGAGCAGGCCCATGGGGGGACCAAACACTGGAGGGGACTTTCCTGGGATGTCCACCTTCAGACGAGCTTGGTGACCTGGGAACCTCAGGCCTCCGGCCCCCTGGGCAGCACCCCCGATCGTCCTGCTCGCCCTCCCCCGAGCCGGGACCCCATCCCACCGAGGCTGGATTACACCCCCCCGCTTGGGGCACTGAGGAAGCCCCCCCGCTCCTGCTCCCGGGGTCCTAGATTCGGAGCTGCACCCCAGCCCCTGCTCCGCTGCCCGACCTCACGTAGGTGTGGCCGTGTCTTCTCGGCCCAGGCCCCAGGCCCCAGGCCCAGCACTGCCCTCACAGTGCGACAGACAAGGCCCCTGCCCGCCCCCAGCCTCGCCCTCTGCAGTGAGCTCCCATCTCCGGGCCCTGAGCTGGACGAGGCTCCGTGCCTGGACCTGGGAGTGGGGGTCCTGAGGCCCCGAAATTGCCCCTGGTGGGGGGAGGGCATTTTCTGGGAGAGGCATCATTTCTTCCCTTAGATTCTGACAGGGCCCCTCCTCTTCTTCCCCAAGTCAGTGTTGAAGCCCACAGCCCGACACGGGCAGGGTGGGCCGGGGCTGTCCCGGGCGGGGGCGGGGGGCCTGTGCCGTGTGGTGCCGTGTGGTACCGGCAGGCACTGCCTGAGCCGTGCTGTGTTGCAGGGCTGCCTGCTGGTGACCTCGGGGTGCTCGCTGTACCTGGGGAATGTGTTTCCCTCGGAGATGGATTACCTGCGCTGCGCTGCGGGCGCGGTAAGCAGCGCCCTCGGGCGGGTCCTGGACAGAAGCTTGGGGTGCGGCTGGGTTTGTGCTCCGAGACGCCCCGTGGCTGGCCCTCGGCTGTCAGCACCTCCTCTGGGGCCTCAGCTTCAGGAGT